CAAGAAAAGAACGGTAGTGAAAGTAAAAAATAATAACATAGAATCCAACAAAATAAATCGGCTAATACAAAGGTACGCGGTATCTAAAAAGAAAAGAAATATTAGAAAAAAAATTACATCCAAAAAAAAAAAACACGATAAATTCAATAGCATACCAAGTAAAACCATTAATGTCGTCAATATAATAGCATGTTGGGAGAAATCTAGCTCAAGTGCAGTAAAATATGCTAAGGGAACCAGCCAGGCACCAAAAGATGCCAAAAATATTCGCATAAAAACGTAATTTACATCTTCGGGATAAGCTTCACCGGAGCCAAATTCGAATGATCCATTATATCCTGCGAGATATCCAGCAAGACCAACTATCATCTTTCCAAGTGGTGGATGCACATCAAAATAAAACTCTCTCTTTAGGTAATGTGAACCAAACTTTAAACGCGTAAAAAAAGTTAAATATACAAGTACAAGTTATATATATAATTCAACAAAACAAATGAAGTAGTCATATTACCTTGCCAAAATGAGCCTTTTTTTTGGATAATGATAATAATAATGTATATAAATTCAATGAATTGCAAAAATCAACATGTTTGAAACAGAAAATTAATAGAATTATTTTATGATATGCAAAGAAAATGAATTGATTAACAAATACCTCATCCCAAACAACGAATTTTGAATAAGAGATCAAGTAATATCTTGTCCAAAAAGATAAAAGAGTAAAGAATGCCGGAATAATGATATCATTATGTTGTTGCCAAATGGCTAAAACCTTTAATATGGAAGCATCGTTTAAATCAGAATGCCATCGAATCAAAGTATATAGCGAGATTTAGTACCACCTTATTTTTTGGTAAACGTAACGGTTTATGCAATTTTCCATTTTCATCAAAGTCAATTGGGTCAAGAGGAACTTGTTCGTAACCAGCTTTAGGAAATTGTTGATTAATCGTAGTAGGAATGTTACGACGTTTTAAAGTATCCATTTCTAAAGAATCATTATTTGATTGAAATGAATTAGGAGAACGATTTTCGTTATCATTATTGTAATCGTCATTTGGCCAAACATCAAAACGAATCGAAATCATTAGAAAAACACATACAAATGATAATTTTTGATGATAAAAAGATATAAAGTGTAAACCTGCTTTTATACATGATTTATATTTAATAAAGAATATCCGAAATTTTAGAATAGGCAATTATATGGGAGATCTTCCCTGCCATGGAAATCGTGGTTTGCGTGGCTAAATTCTATTTGTTAATCATAAAAATTCCAATATAAATAAACTATCGATTGACAAACATACCACACCTGCACAACTTGACGTTTCGTTATCGCTATATCGATATGGTATTGTTAAGCCTGCTTTTTAAATTTGCTATAAAAGGCGGTCCATAACGATAACATTTAGATTCTTTAACGGTCCGCTGTTTCTTACTGGAGTATCTATTGGATGTGTAACAAGGTTAGTAATTCACTTTATATATGCTATCTTTTTTATTTTTGTATAAAAAATTTATGATTTAAAATAAAAAATATTATTTAGTGTTAAATGGGTTGGTTTATTTGTTACTGCATTGGTTGGTTTGTATACTATTGAGGATTTGTGGGATAAATTTGGTGATCTCAGCATGCCAAAGGTAAAGTTCTTGATCACAAAACTATCGCATATTATTATATGCAATTTGTTTTTTAATATTTATTCTTATTATAATAGAAAATTTACCTAAAGCATTGGATTGCAAGAATCATTTGTTTGATAATATTACCAATTCTATTATATATGCTCAGTTTCGCATTACATTTCGCTATTCTCCATAATAGTGGTCCAGGCGATGCACAAATGAGTTCCTTATTTCAAGCTGGCTTGCGTGGCAATAATTTTTATGAAAATCCTATAGGTATATATATATATATATTTCATTATTCATTATTGAATTGGCATTAAAATATAAATACTATTTTAGAGGTGGCATATGGTTCAAAGTTCACCCTTAAAAACATGGGATATGGTGGTGGCCTTTTGCATTCTCATGTTCAAACTTATCCTAGTGGATCGAAACAACAACAAGTAACATGTTACCATCATAGAGATACAAATAATGATTGGATTATTAAAAAAGTAAGAGAAGCACAAGTGGAGAACGATACAGAGATTGAATTTGTAAAACACAATGATGTTGTCCGTTTGTTTCATGCACAAACTAGCCGAAATCTTCATAGTCATCAAGTAGGCGCACCTGTCACAAAATCTCAATATGAAGTTAGTTGTTATGGCAACGACGAAGTTGGTGATAGAAATGATTACTGGGTTGTTGAAGTGGTCGACGATCTTTTTGAAAAAACAGATCATATTCGCTCGTTGACAACTCGTTTAAGATTTCGTCATCAAGTCTTGGGATGTTATTTAAGAGCTGCTAATGCCATTTTGCCTCAATGGGGATTTAAACAAGTTGAAGTAACATGCGATAAAAAGAACAGTCCATCTGATTCTCACACGCACTGGAATGTTGAGCATCATTGGAATGATAAATGTAATATATTATTTCATTAATATATTATTTTATTAATATATTATTTTATTAATATATTATTTCATTAATTAAAACTTTGATTTCTAACTCTATCTTGCTAACTTATGCTATTATCATTTTCTAGTGCCTGCTGGTGGCAGTTCACATTACAGAACAATGTTCTTACATGATTTTTGGCATTTAAATGTTGCTATGTATACTTCTAATAATGCGCTCGTTCCTGATCCTGATAAAGAAGATATCCTTGCCTCTCATCCACTACAATGGCCTATCCTACAAGTAGGTATTCGAATTTGTGGTTGGGATGATTATGCGGTTAAGTACTATTTACTTGGAAACCCTGCAGTGTGGTGGTCGGGTACTGCTTCATTGATTATTTCAATTTTGTTGTTTGCTTGGTATTTGGTTCGACGACAACGACATTATCAAGATTTCACACAAGGTAATTCTTCTTTATAAGTTTATGTTTAACTAATTATTCTTGGACACTGTTTGGTTAATAAATATTTATCTTTACAAACAGCACAATGGTTTCACACCTTATACGTGGGCAAATTATGTTTTATCGGATGGGTACTTCATTATTTGCCATTTTATATCATGGGTCGTGTTACGTACCTTCATCACTATTTTCCAGCCCTTTATTTCTCAATTCTCATGTGTGCATTCGTTTTAGATCATGTTACTTCATCCTGTAATTCAATAATTAAGAATATTGTATTTGGTATTAGTTATTTTGTGGTAATATCGGTGTTTTTATATTTCAAGGATATTGCATTTGGATTCGATTATCCTTCTAGTGAGCTTAAAGGAAGGCAATGGCTTAGCACATGGAATATTGTTGATTAAATTTAGCATAACTTGTAATACTAAATTTGATATATATATATATATTATATTTATTTATTCATTTATTTCTTTAAAAAATTAGATACATATATAGATGCATATAGATTTTGTAACATTTTTGTAATAATAATACCTAATTATCCTAACATCGCCGCAAAAAATGTAGCGACGTTATGATGTCATTTCAAACCTTCACGTGTTGCTGTATATTGATTACAGAATTATAATACCTGTAATTTCTATCATTAAAAAAATTTTTTAAAAAAATCAGTTAAACATTTAAGATTTCGAATGATCAACCCAGTATCGGTAATAGTATTCAGATCTTTTAACGTTAATTATTATTATCCACATTTGGTTGTTAGTTTTTACGTAAGAAAGTTGATTAATCTACTGTACATTGCATTACATGATAATACCTTCTTAATACAGTTACAGTAAAACTTTTTATTATTTAATTCGTCAAACTAATTACTAATACTAAATAAACTTGCCGTCAACTAAACCTAAACGGTCTGGATCAAAATCCCCGACAAACAAAACCCAACCAGGTAAAATTCACCACCTAAATTTTTTCAAACCATGTGATATAAATTTAATGAACACTATTTAATTGGTCATTTTTAATTTAGAATGAAATAATGAAACGATGCACTTTAAATCATTCACACAATCTGAAAAAAAAATTTGGGTGGTGAATTTTACTCGCAGTAGCTGTAATTCTCAGGATTCGGTAGGACTATACTACTCTATTAACAGTTTAATAGCTCAGAATATTATTATTACCAACCTGATTTGTCTAATAAATTTGGGTAAAATTAATCTTTTAGGATAATGGCATCAAAGTAAAAGTATTTGGAGAACAGTATGAATGTGAATGGTGGCATGAAACTGAAAAAACAATTCCTCCAATGAATCACTTGTTGTCAATCATTTTATATTCTGATGCATCAACCTTTGATGGCCTTGGTAAAACTTCGGGGCATCCAGTTTTTTTGACATTTGGGAATCTTCCCCTTCGAAATTCCGCAGATGCAAAAATTCTTTTAGGATTTTTATCAAAAGTTCAAGATTCCATGGTTAGGATCACTGATACCTTTCGAAACTTACAGCATGAGGTATATCAAAAATGCATGAAAACTATATTTGGTCCTTTGCTAAAAAAACCAAATGGGTTATATTTTGGAGTTCAAGGACGACCAGTAATTTTTGCAGCACGAATTTCAGTTTTCATTGCAGACATCTTGAAACTGATGAAATAACTGCAACATATAAACCAGCTAGCAGTAAAATGTCATGTTATAGTTATATGGTTTTGTAAAATGATTTAAACAGTATGAATCTTATTTCTGAAAAAATGGCGCTCAGAACTCCAGAAATATGCAACAAGTTCTAATAAAAAATAAGAAAAGAAAGTTTCTGTACATAATGTCAAAATGTTTTCTGAAAATTTCTATATGTTAATTTTTATATAGATTTTTAAATCTCTTAATACACAGTAATTGCAAAATAACTAACTATATATAGTTGTTTAATTATTTTTTAAAAAAGTAATTTCAATAAACATTTCAATATTGCAATTTGTATATAACTTCTGCAAAGTAACTACCGTAGCATACTGAGAAATGACTTCCTTTTTCAATACCCCCATGCAAAATATCTTAATGCAAAACACAAGATTTCTTTTAACTAAATGTGATTTTTTTAAATTTCTAGACTGCTTATAGTAAATAAGATGTACATATAGGTTTTTTAATAGAAAGGGAAAATTTTCTTCTAAGTAAAAGTTTTTTAAACTTTAAATTAAAATATCTTAATAACTTTTAAATTAAATTTAATAATTTTTTTAGTTATATTAAAACACAACTGTGGTGCAGCATAGTAAAAGTTTGTTTTAATTAGTTGTTTAATTTCTATTGAAAAATACTGTTACATGAATTTTTTATATTTTTATAATAGAATTTTTAATTTGAAATTGACAAAAAAAAATTGTTTAATTAAAGTTATCTAAAATTTTGTAAGCTCGTACATTAAAGGTATATTTTTTATATTAATATTTTGGATCTAGTAAAATCTAGTAGTTCACTAACTTTTATTAGAAATAATTCTGTTAATATAAGTATGTAATACAAAGTTATTATATTAATTTCATATGAGCAAGTTATAAAATGTATTAAAATCAAAGATAATCAAAATTATCAATCGGTTTTACCAAAACTACAATCAAGAAGTACAAAAAGTAACGTGAAGTTGATTTCTAGTTTAACTAATTAAAAGTCTTGCTAATCAACCAATGAAATCAAACTTTACTTATGCTCTATAATACTAATATTAGTTATATATATACTATGTAATATAAAGATTATTATCAAAATAAATAAACAAAAATTAAAGAAACAATTTAAAATTTAGCTTATATTAGAGTTAAAGTTAT